AACCCAAGAATCTACTCAAGGAGGTAATGTATAACTAGCTAAGTTAATGTCATCTGGAACTGGCTCTGTGTCTTGCTTCCAGTTGCTTTTTCCCTTCCCCCACCCAAATAAACTTTTATATTCAGACAGTTGATCATGTTCTATCAAAATGGAATTCTCACTAAACTTTCCCACGTGAAAGACTGCATGGTTATATACTCGTAGTGTCCAGTGTTCTTAAGAGCTTACAAGTTCTCTGGAAACTTTTGGTAAGAAAATCTAACATGCTTTGAAAATTTATTTTTCACTCAGGACTTTGGCTGAAGGGAGGGGTCCTTCACAACAAGGCCCAGAAACTTCTCAAGTAGCTGGACAGACTATAGCAGCCTTCCTCAACTTGAGGCCTTCCAAGTAGTTTGGGCTACAGGTCCCAACATTCCTGTCCATTGGCCACCTGGGTTGGGGTTGAAGCCCAACACATCTGGAGAACACCAGGCTGGAACAGGCTGGACTTTGGTATGTCAGGAGATTCATCTTGTGGGAACTTATTAGCCATTCTGTTGTTGAGGAGAATCCTTGTAAAGAGAAGGCTGACCAATAAGAAAAGTTGTTACTGCTCCTCATACTGTATAACACAATCTGTACAAAGAAAACCATCATATAATACTCATCCCTCTGCTTAGGAGTCTGTGGAACAAGGGATTCTTACTGCTAGATGGTACAACTTTATTATGTTGCTTGATTGTTTGTGTAGCAAAATATTCCATACAACTGGAAGCTGAGTGATCCTATTTTAGGATACATTGACTGTTATTTCCCCATTGTGTGGTTTGGCAGAATCTGAGGTACACATTAACTTATTTAAAATATTAATGTACCACATGCCCACCTGATTTTTCACATCTAAGTCAGCTAACATTAACACATAACATTGCAGTATATCATCATTTAAAACACTGGAGAATTATAATGAAAGAAAACTAATTACTACCTACTTGAAAATAACACAGCATACTGTTAATCTATGTTAATCTATCAGTGACTAATGGACAGTACAGCACAAGTGATTCTGTCTCAAGAGGACAGAGAAATTTCTCTTACTCTTAGAAGAAAAATGAATACCATAGCTGTGGTACAAACACCTTGGCTGGGGCATGGTGGGAATTGTAGGACTTTTTGTGTTTGAACACATCCTGGATTTTGCCTAAGCCAAATGAGTCAGGCTGCCAAGCTAGGGTGGCAGAGGGCCAGGTTCAAATCCCCACTCAGCCATCCAGTTCGCACTGAGCGGCCATGGACAAGTGATTGTGTTTCAGCCTAACCTACCTTAGGGGGTTGTCATGCAGATAAAATAGGTGGTGAAAAGAATGATGCCCATCATTGTGCCTAGCTTGGATCAGTGTGCGTGCGTGCAATAAATCAGTAGCTAGTTAGAGCAGACGGTAACGAAGGACTCGCATCCAGAATGGCACAGAAAGGGAAGCAATGTTAACAATGGCTGATTCTGACATGTTACTCATCTTGAGTTTGAGCTGTCTACAAAAGTCATAATGTGTGGGCATAATTGGGCTCTGGAGTGGGGACCAGAGGAGGACTCTGCTGGGGAAGGGGAGAAGCTAAGGTTGTGTAGTCATGTCAATCTAGCACTGCAGTCGCCTTCTCTTCCCATCACTGGCCCTGAAATACAGCTGGCTGAAATGGCTGTTTAGACAAGGTGCAGAGTATGAGATGCAACCACATGGACTGCAGCTGCTACACCTGAAGCCTTGCACTGGGTTCCCATCAGCTTCTGAGTTTGGAGGCTTAGGAGCATCTGCCATGAAGGTAACAGAACTGTGCCCTTAATTTGGTTAGACTGTAGCAAAGGGTTTCATGATGACGCATGGCCTGGACAAGGAAGCAATTGTTCTCACCCTTTGAAAATATAAAAGCAAGCAATTACTTGAATCTGCCCCAAGCACTAATTGAATTTCATGGGTTAGAATACAAATTCATGGATTATGAAGTAGGAACTATGCAAAAATTTAAAATAGGAAGTGCTTAGGGTTAGGACACTGATATAATAAAAGTTCAATTGTGTAATATTGGACAGGATATTTCCCCTGGCAGACAAGACCAGCATTGCAGTAGATTGTATTTGCATGTTACAGTTCTTTATTGGGCAGATTTGGTGAGCAATTTGAGTTTCAATGCTGCTTTTCCTCTCCTCAAAGGGTTAATATATTGGTCTATGTTGGTTGATGTCAGCCAGGCTTAGTGTATTAAGCAAATATTTCTCCCCAGGAAGAATTCTACTATTAGCTCCACAAAGAATGTAATATTTTCCTATGCTCATATTTAAACCCTAGCAGTGCTTTCCCAGTAAACTTTTTTCCCCAGGAAACTTTTTAATTTTCCCAAGAAAGCAAACATTCTTCTTGGGCTTCAAAAGAAAGCAGTGGTGGCATCTGGTGGCTCAGCTGTTCTGTGATCAAAGAATGGGATTTAAATTAATAGATCTGTCTCTTTACCATGGCTGGGCTGCAAACACTGGCAATACTGAGCCTGGAAAAGCCAGCCCAACCGGGCAATTGACCTAAGCAGTATTTTTACAGGTGTCAGGGAATGGTTTGCAAACATGAAGGCAGGCCTCAGGTTGGTTGTTGGTCCACAGCTCAACTTTGGGTGAACAGAAATGAGCTGAGAATGGACAGGAAGATGGGTTGTCCCCCAAGATGGCTTGGTGTTTGGGTGTAGAAAGGTATGCTCTGAGATGGGGATATAAGGGAATGGGGATTAAACAATGATTGGCCATTATCTCTTCTGGAGCTTCCTCCATCAGAAGAAACTAAAGACACAGCTTCAATTGCCCATTCGCCTTTGATTTGAGGGGTGGGGAACTGCTTCAGTCTGAGGGAGAATTTCAAATTTAGCCAAGCTTTCAAGGGGGATGCATTTCAGAGTTGGATGGATCCCAAGACAAAGAGATGGGGTAACATGATAAATGTAGCAGTATATTTTAGCTGAAAGCTCTTTCTGTTTGTAACTAAGCCTTAGCAGAGGCATTTCAACTTTCAGAACAGGGTAACAAACTGAGCTGTGTATTTTCCAATCCTATCTGGAATATTGAATTCTTTTTTTTTTGGTGAAAGTACAGTGACGTTATTTTATGGAGGGTTGTTATCTGTATGCTGAAGTTATTTTTGCACTTGAAAGTAAGAGTGGAAATAATGAGCTCAGTCTGGGTTATTTTACTTAATATTGGTGTGTGTGTGTGTGTGTGTGTGTTGGCAAGGCAAGGATCTTTGCCTTGACTTGCTTGTCAAGGTTTACCTGAGCAAGCTTTTGAGTAATGCTGAAGTTTTTGCAATTACACGGGCCAGAATCCAAATAACAGCACAACTCTAATGTTTATGGGTCCATTAGGACAATATTTTGAGCATCACCTCTCACAATGCCATATAGCAAGCTGCTTTCAAACCTGGGAGGACCACTTGATTCTATAGCACTGATGTGTGCACATTTCCTTTGTTCAAACAGAGCAGCCCTAAAAAAAAACAACAAAAACTCAAGTCATCCCACAGTTCATGACCAAACTCTTGGGTGTGTCTAGAGGGGCTGTCTGAATCCTGACCAAGTATTTCCTTTTTATTATTATTTTTAAGGCCTTGCACAGAATGGGGAAAAGCCTAGCACAGCTGGCACAATTTCTGATAGCAGGAGGTATTTCATATTATGCTTTCTTATCTAAGGCCTTCTCCAGAACAAGAATTTGGTACAGTGGTATTCAGTCTTTGTATTTCAGTGCAGCAATGGCTGGGGGAAAGATTGACCAGTAGTGTAGACAGAAAATTTTAGGCTCTAGCCTTAATGGTCATGCCCCTCTACCCTTCTAGATAAAACATTTCTTGTAAGAGACTTCCATAGGAATGTCATTACTACTGGCAATTTTTACTTGGACTAGATGGAGATGAGGCTCCGAATGAAACAAATACTAGGTAGGTATCATGAGTTGGCTGGAACTTCTCTGTGGAAGCCACTTCCTCACATGGCTGCTGATCATGCTTCTTACAGCATGAACCTCATGAACCATGCCACCTACATCCATAAAGAATGTTTCTAACTACAGGCTTACAGTGTAATAAAGTTAACTGGAACATCTCTTGAAACTGTGTCAGTGAACCTTTGAGGCAATGCAGCAAGTTATCAAAGGTCAATCTCTAAAATCTTCACAAATGGTTATTAGCGCATTGTATGAAGTGACTTCCTCCTAAAACTATCAGATATGTCTTGTGTGAGAGATCTTGACTTTTACCTTCCAATATGTCACCATCTAGTCATAGAAGTCACAACAGAGCTTGTTTATTTTCTGCTTTGCAGAACATTGTTGCGATATTGGCACCTGTCTTGTCTTTATTGGAGTGCCTCCTTGGTTTTAGTACCATCTGGATGTATCAGTCTAATCATACACCACTGTTCAAAGCTGGACACATAAGTTGGTATCAGGAGCACCATGCTAAATGTTCAGCCCATTTGCCATGGCCTCCACACATGACAACTTTCCATCAGAGTTCATGGCAGAGGATTACATGCTTTGCCTCATCAAACATACAATAAAGGTATGGAATCTGACAAAAGTTGTCTTGAGTCTAATGCAGGGAGGAAAATGCCATGTTCATACTCTTATGGACTGAAGGTTCACAAATCAATATGCCAGTGATGCATGTACAATGCCTATCATATATTCCTCACCTGGTCACACAGCATTACTTCCCCAGTATTTTGTCACAGCTCAGACAATCTGTATTTCTCTTGTTTTGGGATGAGGATTTCCTTGCAACATTGTGGTTATGGTTTTCAAGCATAAATGAATGTGATGGCCTGATTCCCATGACAGAGTTTTGTTACAAACTGGTGGAGAATCTGCTGCCTCTTACAAGCTCATCAGCTCTTTTCGCATTCCAGTAAGTTCAGTATGGTTTACCAACAGCCATTCACATTCCTCAGGAGGGGGCAATTACCTTGTTTTTATTTTACAAACAAATGACCTTAAGTACCATCCCTGTGCATTGTATAAAGCCCGTAACATCTCTTGAGGAATAAATATTTAGGCTAGCATCTGAAATGAGACCCAAAGACTTGGCATGCCTGGAGAAATGTTAAACTCTTTCCTTTGATCTCCTACCCATCCTTCCTTTCAAAAGCACTTGCTGCTTCACAAGTGCGGTTAAGTATGGCACAGAGGGGCTGCTGCTGTTCAAGAAATCTTGATCCAAGCTGTACACAGAGCACGTTGCATGACTCTTCGCGCCCCGCTTTGCATCCGAAGCAAATGGCACCGCTTCCTTCTGTACTGCTTGAGAAGGGCGGTGGGCGGAGCTGGCGCCGGAACCGCGCCCGTCGCGCTGCCCTCCGCGCTCTGTGCCTCCTCCAGTCGCGGCGTGGGCCCTACCTTCGTCACCGTCGGGCGGGAAAGGGCGCTTCCTGCGGAGTCGCAGAATGAAGTACTGCTGCCGCCGCCGCCGTGGAGCGGAGCTCTCTGCCAACATGACCGTGCCCTTTGTAGAGGAATGGGACCTCGTCCAGGCCCTTGGAGAAGGTACTTATGGAGAAGTTCAGTTGGCGGTGAACAGGCGCACTGAAGCGGCCGTCGCAGTAAAAATTCTGGACAAGAAGCTTGCGATAGAGTGTCCGGAGCGGATTAAGAAGGAGATTTGCATTAACCAAATGTTAAAGCACGAGAACATTGTGAAGTTCTATGGCTATCGGCAGGAAGGCACCGTCCACTATCTCTTCCTGGAGTACTGCCGTGGGGGAGAGCTCTTTGACCGAATAGAACCCGATATGGGGATGCCTGAATCTGAAGCACAGATATTCTTCCACCAGCTTATAGATGGTGTCAGCTACTTGCACAGTGTAGGAGTAACACACAGGGACATTAAGCCAGAGAATCTTCTGCTAGATGAGAAAGGTAATCTCAAAATCTCCGATTTTGGGCTAGCAACTGTGTTTAAATACAATGGCCGGGAACGATTGCTGAGCAAAATATGTGGCTCGCTCCCCTATATTGCCCCCGAAGTCCTGAAAGGAAAAGAATTCCATGCTGAGCCTGCTGATGTTTGGTCATGTGGAATAGTACTCACTGCAATGTTGGCAGGAGAATTGCCATGGGACCAGCCTAGCGATTTTTGTAAAGAATATCGTGATTGGAAAGAAAAGAAAACATATCTTTCGCCATGGAAGAAAATAGCGTTATTGCCACTGGCTTTACTTCTCAAAATATTAACCGAGAACCCTGCATCAAGGCCTACTACTGTAGAAATAAAAAAGGACAGGTGGTACAACAAACCTTTAAAGAAAGGCATAAAGCGTCCTTGGGTCTCCTCAAAGGGGGACTCGGATTTTCCTAGAGATTCTAAGCACATTCGATTAGATATGGGCTTCTCTCCCGTGAAAAGTACACCAGGTGAGGATAAAAAGACATGTTCCTATTCCCAGCCCGACCCAAGCACTAGCCTTACCTTGTGGGACAGCAGCCAAGCCAGTACTGATAACCTAGTGCAGAGAATCATCTTCTCCCAGCAAGCCTGTCCTGAGCACATGCTGCTGAACTGCCAGTTACTAGCCAGACCAAGTTTTTCACAGGACTTAGTGAAGGGAATGACCTGTTTCTGTTTGAAGTTGGATGGTAATCAGCCCTACAACATCTTGAAGGATGTTTGTGAAAATATAGGTTACATCTGGAAGCAAAGCTGCATAAATCAGATCACCATAACAACCACAGATAGGAGAAACAACAAACTGATTTTCAGCGCAAACCTGGTGAAAAGACCTAAGTTCCTGTTTTCTTTGGCTTTGTTTGAACACGGAGACAATGAGGAATATGACACTTGTCTCTCAATAAGCTCAGAAATAGTGAGCACGCTTGCTGAGGGAGTCATGATGTGGTGGCAAGCCCTGCCTCTGCCCCAGTCGCCAGCCCCTCTGCACCAGCTGCTAAATGTGCATGCATCTGGGTCTGTTACCTCATTCACAGCACATCCCACACTGGAACCATTCAGGCAGTCTAGTCGTCACACCCAGATCAGAGCATGGCTTGCCATCTCAAGCCTGTTTTCTCCCTGTAGGCATCAACCACACATACACAACCATGTGAATGGCCCTTACTCATCCACTCATCCAAGCAATTAGCTCTTCTAGGGTTAGGGTTCCAGGGCTAATTAAGCTCTTCTCATTTCTGTCATTAAACTAAGCAGGTTCTTAATTTACCCAGTGAAAGAGATGGAATGTGGAGAAACTACAGGTTACACAGCAGATGCTATTGCTACATATACAGCAGTTTCCCCACAACAGGCACACATACTGTCAATGGGGCAGTCAGGATGGAACTTTAGGGCACAAATCCAGAGCCCACCTAAACAGAATAACAAGGAAATCCAGCATATATAGCAGCACTGACTTACCCCCTTTTACAGTGAGTATGTACACTAGTATACACATTACTATTGTAGACCTATCCCTGTAATACATTTTGTAGGAAAAGACATCATGAACAGGTTGGCATAAGTCTGTAGAAGCCATTTTCCAGCATGATTGCTTTCATCATCTTGCTGTAATGTCCTTGCACATTGTTAATGCACAAAAAATCATTGTTGTGTGTCTGCTTTTATGCACCAAAAAATTGAAGTTCATTAAAAGTCTTGTGTATGTGATTGCAGCATTTATATTCCTTCAGCCCTAGTGTAAAGGCCCATCTGTTTACATATGACAGTGGCAAATCATGGATTAATGAATCCATGTATTGCCCAGACACATGCCTAATCCATGTCACCGCCATTTTGAATATGCAGCTTCTAATTGGCCTGAACAGAAGTTTCTTCCTAATGCCTAAAACTGGACACTATGGAACATTTGTGGATTAGGCAAGCCAAATGTAGTCTGTTAACTTATATGTTAACAGCTGCACATGGGGGCATGTCGTGAGTGGAGCCAGCTGGAGCCGGGGGTCAGAATAGATGGCCTGGGAGACCCCTTCTGACTCGGTCTGTTTCTGTGTTCTATGTTTTTATGTTAATTTTGGGTTATTTAACCCATGATTAGACATCTTAAAACAGCCTCAGATCAGAGGTTGCATATTCAAAGGGACAGTGGCACATGCACTAATTAACCCAAGATTTGCAACTGTTAAATGTAAATCAGGTCTAAATCTGAAGTACTGGTTCTTTCTTCAAAATGCTGAAAAAATATTTCTGGGTTAATTTTCACAGCAAGGAAAGGAAAGAAAGAAATTAAGAAATAAAACCTAAATACCTTAGCTAAATCCTTTAACTCCCTTAAGAATATTAAATCCATATTCTTTTGGCTGCTTTCTATGCCATCCTAAATATATGTACTTAGAAGTAAGTACATATATTGACCTGATGGAGTTCGATCAGGCATTCTCCAAAGTGAATATGGATTGCAACCTTAAGGGTAGAGAATATTGGACAATCTTCCAACCTTGCCAAAACTGAGATTCCCTTTCAAAGTAAAATTTCTTTACAAAATATCTGAAGCTGAGTAGGAATGTTATGTTCCATAAATGAACACTAATTCTAGGAGATAAGATGGAGACCTGCTCCAGCTTTCACATTCCTTCCCATTCTCTGATGAAATTTTCAACAATTGAGACATGGCCAGTCCTTCATGATATACTTTGCTGACAGTATGACAACAGGTCTGTCCCACATTCTGGAATGTACTTGCCTCAGGTTTAGCATGACAAGGTTAGAACTGATGAGGGAGAATTATCATAGGATGCTGTTGCCAATTTGGAATGGAGGGTTTTTTACCATGAAAACGAAAGCCGTGGTAGATAGAATCCCACTATGTACCATAACATTAAACATGCAAATCCTTTCCAAATAAAACTAGAGATGAGATCAGTTTGCTGCAGACCATGTTGTGAGTCCAATCTTGCCACATACTTTGATGAGGTCTTCAGACTTGATTTGTCTCCCAGTTCTTCAGATGTGTCTCCCTGTCAGCAGCCTAAATTGTAGACAAACAGTAGTGTGTGTTAGAAGAAGAGGGGTGCTGGATCAAGTAATCCAGTATTGGTAATCCTGAATAGTTTCTCTAGGTCAGCAGAATATGTGTATCTGATTTTGTAGTGAAGCCATCACAGTTAACTAAAAGGATGGTAGGAAACAGATCAAATCTTACGATGTCTGCAAATGATTCTCCTCTTGCTGTTGTACTGCCAATGGTTCTCTGCACAGTTGAGATGTTCTTCATCTATTTTGCTTGAAGATTTTTTAGCAGGCTCATTGAATGATAGAATATATGAACTGAACCCAAGGGACTTCATGTTCACGATTACATGATTGAGGCGTTGTTGTTTGCTTTGCTGACCAGCTTGTCATTTCAGAATTCAGAGCAGCCTACAGTGTCATTTTCCATGGATGGCAGGAATATCAAAACTCCATCTGAATGGACTTGTTACTTAGTGACCAAATTGTGCAGTTTGACTACAATGAGTGCAATGTAAAGGTTCCTTATTTGTATGCACTGATGGATCTAGGCTGCAATTGATTGCAATACTTGACTTGTATTCCTAACCATCTCATTGTCTACTGCTGCTTCCTACTAGCTTTTTTTCAGCATTTGTGACTTTTCAAAAGATGTTTCAAAATCTAATGATAGACCACTTCCCATGGAGAGGCATACTAAACCTGTATTGTTTTTCCAATTATTCTTTATTTCAGGTTTTTTGCAGGGTTTCCTCTAATTTCAGGCCAGAACAGCTGCTCTGAAAAGTCTTTGGTTCTGCATCACATATAAATAGCCTACTTGAATCATTTCATGAATATCAGGATGCCACATTTTTTCAAAGAAACAGAGAAACATAGAAAAGCCATCAAGTCTGACCCCTGGCTCCAGCCGGCTCTGCTCACGACATGCCCACCATGTGCATGTCCAGCCTATCTTTGAACACCTTCACCAATGGGGCCTCAACCATCTCCTGTGGAAGCCCATTCCACACCCTCGGGGTCCTGACTGTCAGGAAGTGCTTCCTGGCATCCAAATGGAACCTTGGCTCCCTGAGCTTTGCTCCGTTGGAGCGCATTCTGCCTTCCTCTGCAGGGGAGAACAGGTCTCTACCCATCTCCATGTGACATCCCCTCACATACCTGTATGTCGCCAACATATCTCCTCTGAGTCTCCTCCAGGCTGAAGAGACCCACTTCCCTCAGTCTCACCTCATACTCCATCCCTGCAAACTGACCACCAACCTTGTGGCCCTGCGCTGCACTGACTCTAACCTGGCTATATCCTTTCTGTAATGAGGGGCCCAAAACTGAGCACAATACTCCAGTTGTGGGCGCACCAGAGTCATATAGAGTGGTAGTAATACCTCTCTCGATCTAGAAGCCACACTTCTGGCTATGCAACCAAGGGTGGCATTTGCCCTCTTGACCACCGCATCACACTGCTGACTCATATTTAGCCTGCAGTCAACCAGCACCCCGAGATCCCTTTCACAAGTGCTGCTCTCCAGCCACTTGTCACCTAACCTGTACTTACGACACCTATTCCTATGCCCCAAGTGCAAGACCTTGCACTTATCCACATTGAATGCCATCCTGTTGTCTCCTGCCCACTTCCATAGTCTGTCCAGATCCTTTTGGATCTGGAGTACCTGTTCCTCAGTTGTGGCTACTGCTCCAGTTTTAGTATCATCTGTGAATTTGATCAGCAGACTGTTCACCCCTTCTTCCATGTCATTTATGAAAAGATTAAACAGGATTGACCCCAGGACAGAGCCCTGGGTGACCCCGCTTGTCACTGGCCGCCATCCCGATGATTCCCCACTAATGGTTACCTTCTGCTTTCGGTCAGTCAACCATGCCCTAATCCACCAGACAGTGCTTTGGTGTATCCCAAAACTCCTCAGTTTCTCCACCAGGATATCATGGGGCACTTTGTCAAAGGCCTTGCTGAAATCCAGGTAAACCACATCCACTGCATCCCCTCCATCTAGCCACCTCGAAACCTTGTCATAGAATTCCGCAAGGTTTGTCTGGCAAGTCCTGTTTTTGCGGAAGCCGTGTTGTGTGGCTGTCAGCCTCCCTTCCCTATCTGACATCACTAGATCTCTCTCTTTTATGAGGCTTTCCATTGCTTTTCCTACAATGGACATGAGGCCAATAGGTCTGTAATTCCCCATGTCTCTTCTGCTACCCTTTTTGAAAATTGGGACCACTGATGCCACCCTCCAGTCCTCTGGAACTTCACCCGTTCTCCACGAGGCCTCAAAAATGGAGTGGGCGTGAAAAAACCCCTCCCAACTCTCTAAGTACTCTTGGGTGTAATCCGTCAGGGCCTGGCGCCTTTGTAATGTCCAATGCCCTGAGGAGCCCCTCGACTTCAAGGGGGGTGACTCTAATCTGTGCCCCTAAGTCCCCAGCCTCATCTAATCTCCTACGCAGGTTTCTCCCGTCCTGCTTTGGGGAGGATACAGAGGCAAAATAGTAATTTAGCATCTGTGCCTGTTCCCTCATATCAGTCACTGGATCTCCTTCCTCCTTATTCAGTGGCCCCACCATTCGTCTTCCCTTCCTCTTTCTATTTACATGCTGAAAGAAGCCTTTTTTGTTGCTCTTGATATTCTTGGCAAGTCTCAGTTTGTAATCAGCCTTAGCCTTGCAAAGAATCCTTCTGCAACGGGTCTCCTCCTCCTGGTATACCCTTTTGTCTATTTGCCCCAGTACCCATTTCCTACGGAGGTTCCTCAAGAGAAATTATTGCTTATATGACTTTTAAAAACCAAAGACAGGGTCAAACAGCTAATGTAAATGATGCATCAATCAATGAGGCATAGGAATATATACAGAACAGATGCTGTTGTAGAAAATGTGTGAGCACTGATTGTAACAATCAAAGCCAGGCTTTCCAACACCTTACATCAGTCAGGGAATAAAGCAAACAAACTTTTTGCCTACAAATTAATAGCTCAAGTATCAGTCACTACAATTCATGATCAAATAAGAAACCTATAATGTATGTCTAAAGATTCTATAAATTTCTATAGATTTTTAAATGGGCATATCATGGAAGCCAAAATTGAGAGGTTTGTTCACCTCATTTCCTCTGTTACATGTTTATATGAACCACATCACCATTTTGGTGGAAATGGCCATTTGAAGATGGTTTTTGAGGACCAAATATTAACACAGACACTTATAAAGGTAAAGGTTTCCCCTTGAAGTGAAGTCCAGTCATGCCTGACTCTAGGGGGTGGTACTCATCTCCGTTTCCTAGCCAAGGGAGCCAGTGTTTGTCCACAGACAGTTTCCGTGGTCATGTGGCCGTCATGACTAAACACCGAAGTGCACGGAACGCTGTTACCTGCCCACCGAAGTGGTATCTTTTTATCTGCTTGCATTTGCATGCTTTCGAACTGCAAGGTTGGCAGGAGCTGGGACGGAGCAACGGGAACTCACTCCGTTGTGCAGATTCGAACTGGCGACCTTTCAATCAACCAGCCCAGCAGCACAGCGGTTTAAACCACTGCGCCACCTGCAGTCCCTCAGACACTTATGCTTAGAACCTAAACATACTTAATGGAGATTAAGGCATATTTCCAAATAAACATAACTTGAGATTGTACTATTATAGAATTGTTAGGTCTAGGTACATTTGTACAAACCTGGCATATATGAAAGTTGTCCCAAATGAGCAAAGCCTATCTACCAGTATCTATTTTTAAAGAACAAAAACAGTGAAATAAGGGAAGAGGAAAGTAAAACAACAGAGCAAAGGAGAAAATGTTCCCAGAACAATGGAAGGAAGGGCTGGCAAGTATTATTAAAACTACCCTAGAAAAGGTGCAGCTTTCTGATTTAGCAGAAAGATCTTTACAAAATAGTCTGAGCTTCTGTGGAATGTTTGAATAACAACTAGTATAGCTTGGATGCCTGTTTGAGGTGGGAGAGGGTTGGTGAGCCACTTGAAAGCATATTTTTAATTTGGAATGTTACACGAATTACCCTCTGTTATTCTACCTCTAAACATGTGTGAGAAATATTTTTGAAAATAGCACAATCAGGATGCTTGCAATCTTTTCCGAATCTAAGGAAGGAACTACAGGCTTGGTTTGGAAGAGCTGCATGGGCTGTATATGAACAAGACACAGACTGAAAGACATTTCAGGGCAGAACTGGAGTAGGACCTTTCCCACTCTATCAAAAACAGTGGAGCAGCAGCTATATGTTTTAATA